TTTAAAATCGAGCATTTCGACACTATTTCGGCGAAAATCGGATTATCGATCGATCGGATAAGTATACGTATTAATTATATATATATATATATATATTATATAAAAAGCGGACGGGGCGTATATAAACAATTCCCCGTCCATTTTCAATTCTCATCAACATCACTTTTCTCATTTTCCACCGAGAGAGAAGCAGAGCAAGCGAAAGTGCAGGGGAACGTCGGGGGAAAATCCTCAGAGCTCAATTCTTGAGCTACAGTGATCCAAAAATCCCGTAAGTAATGCCTAATTCATCCATACATCGTGATTTATCAATTTAGAGCTTTAAAACGAGTTTTTGGTTCAGGAATTTCTTGAATTCCCGATAAGCCAAATTAGGGTTTCGGAGTATCCGGAAGCCGGATTGAGCCCAAATTTCATATACGAGCTTCCTGCCGCGAGGTAATCAATCCCCTAGTTCTAATCCCTGAATTTCGGCTATTCTTTAGATCGGAGCCGGGATCGCTGAATTTAGCTCCGGCCAGGGTTTGATGTGTTTTTATCGAGAATTTGACCCGGAGCCTAGAACTAATATTGACGGGGATACTGCAGGGGATATTAGGACGGTCTCGGATTTTAATTCGGGGTTCGTTCGAGAAATTGACGTTTTAGTACGGGAAGGTTAAACCGGTGTTTGAACGACCAGAACTGGTGAGGGATTAGCACGGCATACCGGGTTTGTCGTATCACGATAATTATATTGATGCTTAGAATTGACCTAGGTGAACTAGAATGGCATGATTAGGGGTGTATGAACTTTTGTGCTATATGTTGAACCCTGGACTGCTGTATGATATTATTGACTTGTCCTAATCGATATGGACCTTGTTTATGCTGATGATTGCATACATGTTGCCATTTGTGGCTTAACTGTTGATATGACTTCATGGTTGTTCGATCAGGTGTTTTGACATGATGCGATATTGTGGTTCTATTTGGATTCACAAGTGGGGGAAATAAACTTCCTAGGTTGATATTATGATTTTTAAGGAGGATGACTTGCACGAGGGTTTATCCCGAGGAAGTGCAATTATACGACTCCTAATTTACCTATGTTGAGCCAATTATGGCTAGGTCAAGTACATGTGCAAGTAATGAATTATGATTAAGCAAGATGAGATATGAATAATGTATAAGGATACCAAATATGAGTGTTGTGGTCTCACGGTCAACTACATAGTAATTAGGGCTCCTTATGCTATTACTCTATTATGATATGTATGATAGTCACACCTCTCATGTGGTGGTGACTGAAGAATTCTTACGAGATATGACCACACCCAGAGTGGTGTCGGGGTATGACTACACCCATAGTGGTGTGGGGTATGTATGACCACATCCGACGGGATGTTGGGGTATGTATGACTACATCCGACGGGATGTGGGGTATGTTTCCCAGGAGAGTTATTAGCATGGGAGTAGCCAGGCGCCTATGAGTAAAACATAATAAGATGCATATGCATAAGTCAAGGTGGTTGAGTCTTTTGCCTATTGGGATATGAGGATGGCTGAGGTCCGATCCTAGTGTTTTGGCTTGATTGTTAGATGTATGATAGGAGTATGCTCTGTTATGAACTCACGATGCTATGATTATCTCACTCAGCTATGAGCTGACCCTCTTTTATTCTTCTTCTCTGCTTATGCTATGTGTAAGCAGATCATCAGCAGCAGCAGTAGATAAGTGTTAGGTGGGAGAGGAGCTAGAGTTGAAGCCAGGATGAGGTATGGTCTTCAACTATTCTGTGCTTGGACTACTACTCGGGATTTTGGCCAGTGATGCACACCTTTTTGTAAAAATGTTTTGAGAACTTTTTTCATGTGCATACTAACTTCTGATGTAGTGTGAGATATCCACAGGTGTGGAAAGTTAATGATATGTGTATATGTTGTGTAACTCTGTAAGTTGTGACGATTATGGTATGTATAAGTATGGTATGCAGTTAGGAAGTATGAAAAGTGTGACTATGGCTAAGAAAAGCCAATGCATATGGTTGTGAGTATATATGTTTGTGATGAATTATTTTGCAGGTTAAGTTGCAAGAACTGTTAGCCCATTACGCGAGTAATTTATGTCGAAATTTTATTTAGGTAAATTTTGATAATTAATGTAACACCCGAGATTAATTCCGCTGCAATTGTATGAAAAATATGATTAGGAAAAACGTATAGGGTAGGGTGTTACAGAAATCATCATGTAGACGGAAGAAATCAGCTCCGGGTCTTCAATCGTCACTCATCGAGGCTTGAAACAAGCTCCAATGATCGGAAAACTTGATCTATGGCACTCAAGGGTCTTTGTTCGTCACTTTCTCTCTCCAAACTTCTATTTTCAGCTTCCAAACTCCCTCGTAGAGCAAAACCCGTGTTATAACTGCGCTGCTGTGGATTGGGAAATCGTCAGAATCGACAAAGCAAGAACACGAAAACAGAAATCACACAACATACGAATTTACGTGGTTCACTAACACAATGTGTGCTAGCTAGTCCACGGACAGGAGAGCCATTTTCACTATATCGAGGAGATTACAATGTGTGTTAGCAAGACCCCCGACTATTCCAGTCGTACGCTTATAGTCCGATTCAAGTCACATCAACAAATCTCCACCTTGACTTGAATCCTCTTCCTCTGAAATCTCTGATGTACTCTGCTCTTTCTCTCTCTCCTCCCATCAATGCCCCGTAGGGCGGAGTCACCCACTCAAGACATTCAGCAAGTCCAAGCAGTGTTGGAACTTGCCATATGAATCCGGCTTCGTGAACATGTCAGCAAGATTATCCGCGGTGCCAACCTGCTTCACCTTAATCCTCTTCTCTGTCGTCAAGAAATGGTACCTCACGTCGATGTGCTTAATCCTCTCATGGTGGACTTGATCCCTGGCCAAGCATATTGCACTCAAACTGTCGCAATACACCATTGTCTGATCATGTTGTAGACCCAGATCACCAACCAGTCCCTTCAACCATATTCCCTCCTTAGCAGCTTCTGTCAACGCCATATACTCTTCCTTGGCAGTAGACAATGTCATCGCCGACTGCAAAGTTGCCTTCCAGCTTACTACATAACTCCCAAGAGTGAATACATAACCGCTCATCGATCTCCTCGTGTCAACATCTTCAGCATAGTCTGAGTCAGAATACCCAGACACCAAGCACTTTGTATCACTTCCGAAGCTAATCCCCACATCATATGTACCCTTAAGGTACCGAAAGATCCTCTTCACAGCCTGCCAATGCTCCTTCCCAAGTTGTATCATGAACCTGCTGACAACCTGCAAGATCAGGTCTAGTGCATACCATAGCGTACATTAAGCTACCTACTGCACTAGCATATGAGACTCTCGACATGTACTCCTTCTCAGCCTCTGACTGCGGTGCACAAGCTGAGGATAGATGAATATTGATGCACCAGGAGTATTTAAGGGCTTTGTTGAAGAAAAGCTTCTTCTTTGACCTGTCCCTATAAATCTCCATACCCAAGATCTTCTAAGCAGCTCCCAAATCCTTCATCTCAAACTCAGCACTGAGAAGTCCCTTTAACTTCAAGATATCAGACTTCAACCTCGCAGCTATGAGCATATCATCCACATACAGAACTAGATATATCATCGAACCATCCTCTGCCTTGTTGTGATATACACAACAATCATTTGGAATTCTATTGTAGCCCAGCTCAAGTAGGGGTGGGTATTGGTTTGACCAAACCGCTCCAAATCGCCCCAAACCGCTTATGCGGTCAATCCAAACCGCATCATTAAACTAACGGTTTCATTTGCGGTCTGATCGTTAAGTGCTTGGCGGTTCACGGTTCGGATTGACCCAAACCGCGCGGTTGCGGTTTGAAACCACAATCCGCTAAGATCGAGTACGCAGAAGTGAGAACTGAGAAGTTGAAACCACAATCCTCTAAGATTGAGTACGCCTCTTCTCAACACACGACCTCCTTCTCCACATCCTTCTTCTTCCGCTCAACTTCCTGAAGCCCTTCCTCCAGCTTCTTCTCCGCTAGAAGCAGCGCCACCGACAAAGCTTGGAGGGCGGCGGCGGTAGAGTCGACGCTATCTTCTCTCCGGCAGGCGGCAGCACCAGATCTGACCATTCTCTCGTTCCGCCATCTTCTCTCCACGGCGCCATCTTCCCCAGCTTTGGCGGACTGTCAAATACACCAAGAGGCGGGAGACTCCGGTGCTTTGGCCGGCTATCAAAAACACCAGTACCGGCGAGATTAGGTATGCTTTTATCCTTTGGTTCTATATTTGAAATTCAAGCAATAAATAATGCAATCCAGCAATAAACAAGAATCAAAATTAAACTCACCAAGACTGGAGATCTTCCAGTTAGCAATAGGACTAGACGCAGCCTGATCCGAAGCAGCAACTCCGTCAGAAGAAGAATCCATTCCCTCGGCAGCAGAAGAAGATTTCTGCGCAGTATTATCAAGAAACTTCTGGCTCATGGAGTAACAAAGCTCGAGAGCAGGCAACGTATTGCAAAGCTCGAGGATCTCGTCGTAGCTAAACCCACCGAATCCAAGATCCAAACACCCTTTCAGCTCATCGAGATCGTCGTCCGTCAAGCTCTTTGCCCTCTTCAAATCCAGGGTCGCACTCAATTCTGAATCTCACTATTGTTCTTGGGTCGAAGGGTTCTTACGCCACCTAATCAACCCTCGATTCCTCCTGGGTCACATTGTCTTTTCTCGTCTGCAACTTTACTGTTCTGGGTTTCATCCATTTGCGCCTGGTTATGTTGATATCAGGATGATGCTAATGGGTTCATTATCTCCTTCTTTTGTTGTTTTTCAGGATCTGGGTTCCAGTCTAAGAGCAAGTATCTGTTTGGGAAGGTGAATATACAGATTAAGCTTGTGGAGGGAGACTCTGCTGGGACCAGATGAATGTGTGCAGATTAGTGTTAATGACAGTTCAATGTTCTAACTGTTTTATTTCATATGCTTGCAGGGCAAAATGAAATCAAAAGGCTCGAAGGGAAAACGAGCTCAAGCACCGATATCTAGCAGCAATGTGCCTAATGTCAGTGAGGTGAGTTATGATCACTAGCTACCAATCCTCTACTTTCTGATCGTAACAACAACAATAACAATAATGTACCAACAGAAAGGAAGGTTTCCAAAGGTATATGGATTGGTGGTTGTCCAGAATCAGAAGAAGAACCAAAATGATACCCTCTTCTTATTTTTGCCTTTTAATATTGTTGTTTATTGAAGGAAGGGGTGGTGGTGCCTGGTCAGAAAGCAGGTAGCTAGGGAATCAATCTACAGGGAAGGACAACAGGCTGGGTGAAACCAACATGACACCATAATTGTCAAAGGCAAACCACTGATCCAGAGCTGGTTGCATGTAGGGGTGGGCATTCGGTCGGTTTGGTTTGAACCGAACCGAATAGAGTAATACCGAGTCCCCAAAGTAGTGTAAGAGGCAAACCGAATTCGAACCGATATATATCTCGGTTCGGTTCATCCGAACCGAAATATATCTCGGTTCGGGTTTAAGACACTGTCGAACTTTCCCATTTACCCTAATCTATCTCCCCATTTTTCATTTCTGTGCTCTCCTTTTCTCTCTGTCTCTCTCACTCCTCAGAGCATAACGAAAGCGGCGATTGCTCCTCCCCTCTCTGGACTCGACGGCGACGGCAACAACTCAGGCGGCGATGGCGATCGACGGAGAAGACAACCTAGCGGCAGGCAGCGTCATGCAATCGATGGCTACGACAACAACTCAGGTGGCGATGGCGAGTGACGGAGAGGACAACCCGACAGCGGCATGCAATCGACGGCAACGACAACAACTCAGGCGACGATGGCCATCGACGGAGAGGACAACCCAGCGGCAGGCGGCGGCAGCGATTGCATGTTAATTTTGGTTTGATTTTTCTCTGTCTCTGTTTTTTTATTTCGGTGCGCATCTACATCTCTCACGGAGAGTCCCAAATCCAGATCGTAGATCTAGTTTCCCCACCTACTACTGCTTTCTTCGTGCTTTGCATGTTGTCGATCTTCAATTCTTCTCTGTCTCCTCATTTGCTTCTTCAATCAGGGGTTTTTTTATGGATTTTCCCTCTGTTTTTTCTATGAATGTGTTTCGTTCTTTGCTTTGCAGGTTTTTGGTTGTGAGACCGGAGCGGGTGGAGGGAATGGGAAGGGGTTAGTCAACGAGTGGTGATGAGGGCTAGTCGGTTGTGCTCTGTATGGGACGAAGTCTATTGAGAGCAAGAGGAATCGAGGTCCTCGAGAAGATGGCGGCGGAGTAGAGCGGCGGCGGCCGTGAGTGGGAAAGGGGGCTCAGTAGGGTTGTGGGGAGAGTTGGGCTGTAAGGGGAGGGTTTGGGCTCAGTAGGGTTGTGGGGAGAGTTGGGGAGAGTTGGGCTGTAAGGGGAGGGTTTGGGCTCAGTAGGGTTGTGGGGAGAGTTGGGCTGTAAGGGGAGGGTTTGGGCTCAATTGGGTTAGGGGTGGGAAGTTAGGTTGTGTGGGTATGGCCTATGTGTATAGTAATTTCGGTTTTTCGGTTCGGTGTTCGGAATGTCGGTTCGGCCAATACAACCCTGGCTCCCGAACTATGCGTTTTATGTTTCCAATTTTCGAACCGAACAACATAATTTCGGGTTCGGTTCGGTTTGAAGTCGGTTCGGTTAGGTTCGGTTCGGGTTTACCGAACCGGATGCCCGCCCCTAGTTGCCTGTGACTATTACTGGGGAAGGGAGGGCAGTAGGTCCCAAAATGGAAGGGATTACCCTTCCTAATCAGCCCACCCCACTACAACCCCAAGTAGTATATACATGTTCAATTGTTTATGCTAACGGGAATAGCAAGAGTCAAATGAGCTTATGTGTACTGGTGTCTGTGGTTAGTGGGAAACAAAACAAGTTGTTTGGAGGCTTTAACAGTTAAGATTCCCACTAACAGCTACATATGAGCTTGATCACCTCACGTGAAGAGCCCACCACTCCCTCCAGCTGACATTAATGGAAGGAATGTGATGTCATTCTGCAGCTGCCAATCCTCTACTTTTAATCACTGCTTAATGATTGGGTTTTCATTTTAATGAGTAGTACAACTAATTTATACTTAGACGAGGCTTTGCTTCAGTGTTTGCTGCAGAGCTATACATACTTGTTTATGCTAACATGATTCTAAATTTGTATGCCCTGTTCTCATTTACTCTATTATTGTTTAGGCCGAGTGTGATGATGTTGGAATGGATTCCTCAAGTGGGGAAGAGATGGAAATCGAAAATGATGGAAGTACGAGCAAGGTGGCTGCTAGTGATCATATTGGTTCAGCTTCGACTCATATTGAGTCACCAATGCCAAAAGGGAGGCGGCTTAGATCAAAAGTTTGGGTCCAATTCAGGAGGTATAAGAAAGACGTCTTATTCAAGGCATCATGCATCAAATGCGGGAAGACTTATGCATCTAAATCACATACAAATGGAACTAGTGCACTCCGCCATCATATGAGTAAACCGTGCGGTGATGGAAAAGGTACGGCTCAACAACTATTGAATACTATTAGAGGTGAATTAGATGAGGGGGATGGATCTGTGTTAGGGAGTTGGAAGTTTGATCAAGCAGCTATAAGGAAAGGATTGACTTATATGATCACTGTGGATGAATTGCCTTTCCGATTTGTTGAATATTTGGGTTTCAAATACTTTATGTCACTTGCTTGTCCTAGATTCTGCATACCTTCTAGAAGAACAGTGACTAGTGATTGTTGGAATTTTTATCTTGAGTTGAAACAAAAGTTGAAGGATGTCTTTAGCAACTGTGAAGGTAGAGTTTGTCTGACTACAGATTCATGGACTTCCAACAAACAATTGAACTTCATGTGTGTGACAGCTCATTTTATTGATAGAAATTGGATATTAAGGAAAAGGATAATTGGTTTTCGCCAAATCTTTAGTCATAAGGGGGTGGATATTGCAAGTGCAGTTATGTCTTGTTTGGATGAATGGGGAATAGATAAAATTTTCACAATCACCGTTGACAATGCTAGTTCAAATGATACTGCAATAGAAGAATTGAAGAGCATATTTGATGATAGAAAGATTGGCATGTGTGATGGCAAATTTCTTCACATTAGGTGTGTGGCTCATATAATGAATCTAGTTGTGACGGATGGATTATCTGAGATATCTGTGGCTGTAAAAAGAATCAGAGAGGCAGTAAGATTTGTTAGGCAGTCACCTGCAAGAATTCAGAAGTTCAATAATTTTGTTGCTCTTGATAATACAAGCAAGAGTGGGTTGTGTCTTGACGTTCCGACGAGGTGGAACTCAACCTATTTGATGTTGCAATCGGCTATGAAGCATGAGCATGCTTTTAATCTTTATCGATTGTCAGATAAGCAATTTCAAAATGAACTCGAAATGAAGAGTGGAGTACCTGATAGCTACGATTGAGATAGTGCTAGAAGAATGATGAAGTTCTTGGAACAGTTTTATCAGTTCACCTTAAAAGTTTCCGGTTCACAGTATATCACCTCCAACTTATTCTTTCCTGCAGTTGGGAACTTATATCGTTTGTTGAGGAATTGGGTAATTCCAGACAAGGAGGATTACCAATTAAGTTTCATGGCAACAAAGATGAAACAGAAATATGATAAATATTGGGGAGCTGTAGATAAGATGAACAAGTTATTGTATATAGCTGCCGTGTTAGATCCAGGGCTGAAGTTGCAGTTTATTGGTTCACACTGAACTGGATGTATGATGATGAGAAAGCAGTTTCTGCTTTGACAGAAGACGTTGAGCTTGCTACTTACGAGTTATATGCTCATTATGAGAATCAAATGGAAGTAGGTGAAGGTTCATCCTCCTCTCAAACAGAATTAGATGACGATGGTGGGAATGTGGATTTAGTTGCCGAGTATATGAAGCAATTGCAAAAAGAGAGAGGTGTAGTGAACAAAACTGAGTTGGATAGGTATTTGAAGGAGGATGTTGAAAAATCAATGGATCCCAAGTTTAATGTGCTAGGATGGTGGAAAGTAAACAGTCACAGGTTTCCAACTTTGTCTCGGATGGCAAAGGATGTCTTGGCTGTCCCTATTTCTACAGTTTCATCCGAAGCAGCTTTTAGCACTGGAGGTAGAGTGCTGAATGATTTCAGAAGCTCTTTGACTCCTAGGATTGTTGAGGCTCTTATTTGTACTCAGGAATGGCTCCGAGCAGACTCTAGTCTGTGTCTAGTTGAAGAAGATTCAGTGGAGATTGATAATATCGATGAAGGTGAGTAACCTAGAAAAGGCTACTGTTTATTTACCATATACGTTTTATCTCGTAGTTAAACTCTCTTTTTATGAATTTTAGAGTTGAGCATGGTGATGAAGGCTATTGGCATCTCCGATGTTCCACTTCCTCATATCAATACTCCTCGTATGAGTCCTAATGTAGAGGCAAGCACAAACACAAAAGGTAGCATATGAACCTTATCATTATTGCAATAGACAGGTGAAAACTGTTGTGAAAAAGCAGTAACTAGCATGATCATAACTGCTGGATCTAATCTGAATGCAACCCATATGAATACTCTGCTGCCTGCTTTGGATCTGGGAAAAGCTTCTTCCTTTTATTTGGTTCATGGATCCAAACAGAATGAGGATTGATGACTCGGTATTTGCACATGTTTTCCCCTTTGTTTCTTGATTGTTTGAGCTTGAATTATCGTGTCTTTGGCCTATTTTACGCTAGGTTGTGTTCCTTTGTCACATTTCAGGTCCTAGCACATAAAGTGAAGCATAGGCGCAAGTTTCAAGTCAATCAGAGATCAATTGACGATTCGGGAGAAGAAACTCGGGTATGACCTGAAGAAGAATGGATTTCTACCTCAGTTTATGGACAAAGAATCATGCAAGCTTGTCATGAAAAGAAAGAGGACGAGACTACGAGTGTCTGGGATCAAACGGCGACTGATTCGGAGTCCGGACGAGGGAGAAACGAAGCATTAAACAGAGGCTGAGCAAGCCACACGGGCACAATCCACACGGCCGTGTGACCTGGCCATGTGGCCGTGTGGAAATCACCGAACCTTCACACGGGCAGCTGGGAAAGCCACACGGCCGTGTGGCCTGGCTGTGTGAGTCAGGAATTGCTGTTTAAAACCCAATTTTCAGCAAAAGGAAAGGGGCAGAGCTGGGTTTTGGATCCCAAACACCCAAGGGACGAACCCTAGAGAGAGAGAGCGACTTGGGAACATTCTTGGAGCTATTTTGGAGGATTTCTTCGCCATTGGAGCTCGGGAATCAAGCTTGGAGATGGAGATTGAAGATCTAGATCAGATTTCTGCAGTCTCTCTCTTCTCTATGGAGTAACTTCCCTTCACTTAGGTTTTGAGGAACCTTAGTTCCATGAGTTAGGATCTTTCTTGTATGAAGTTTTGGATGCTATATTGTTTGATTATAATCGAATGATGCATGTTTATTGAGTCAATTGAAGTCTGATCAACTTTTCCTGATTCCTGCTGTAATCTGAGATAGATAGAATCTGATTAGGTTGCTAGAGTCTCATCATTCGGTAGTAGGAGATTGGCTATACGAGAGTTAGCCAGTTTACTGCTTTGTACTGGAATCCAATTCCAGTAGTGGAGTTCTGTGCTTATTGCTTCAGCTTTCTATCCCGGTGAAGACTAGTCGTCTGCCGGATAGTTAGACTGAGAGGGTTTGGTCAGCTTAAGAGATTCCAAACTACTGTCGGATCTTCCGCAGTTTAATCAACAGTAAATCAACCAAAAGGAATTACAACTTGGACCTAATTGAGGAGCTAGGGGGAATCATACCTAAGTGAGTTCCCAAACTGTAATTAGTAGTTTTACTTAGTTAGTTAGTAGAGTAGTTTAGTTAATCAATCCTTAATCTAGTTTGCTAGATAATGAACTGAAGCTGAGTAATAGTAACTCTAGAGACCCGTGGATTCGATATTTATTACTTGTGCCACTATACTGCAGTCCCTTTCATTGGTTACACTTGGCCATTGTTAGGTGTTGTGTTTTAGAGCATCAAGTTTTTGGCGCCGTTGCCGGGGACTTTCTAGAGTATTAGGAAAGGCAGAAGTTTGTTACTTTAGCGTTTTTCTTTTCTTTTCCACCCTTGCTTTTCACTTGGGTGTTTTTTGTTTTTGTTGGTGCAGATCTGAATCATGGATCCGCATGGCTTCTCCAACTAGTGGGGGTATCCACCACCATCCGAGTGGTATTACCCCGAGACTCCCTGGAGCAATCAAGGAGGAGAAGACTATGGATTCGGGTTCCAGTACCAACCCCCTTTCTACGGAGAACAACTAGACCCCTGGGCATATCAAGAACAATCTCCTTATCAAGAAGAATTCCTCCCACAACAAGAAGGGCCATCAGATCTTGAGTTACCCATGGCGGCCTTCACGGGCCACTCTGCAGAGCCATGCTACACTTCACTGGAAGATCCGAACAAACAATTAAGGCTTCTCGTGGAGCAGTTTGCTCGAGACACTGAGAAATCATGCTCCAAGATGGATCTTCAAATCAAAGCCCTTGCCACTTCCGATCCCTCATTTCTCCATGATATGGAGGAGACTGTTCAGCGCTCAGCGAAGCAAACAGAGTGGGTGAAGCAAGTTTGCTCGCATCTTGCCCAAGATCACCTTTCTGCTACCACGCTAGAAGAGGTGGAGGATGACAAAGGCTATGGGAGCGTTGAGGAGCATACAGAAGTTATCACAGAGAAATCTTATGATAATCATGATCAGGAAAGTCCTTTGGTTGCAGACCACACCTTTCCTCATTATGCTCTAACATGCTGGGCCCGTGCAAGGAGATGCAAGATGATCCCATTGAAGAAATTGCTTGGCGACTTGCTCTCCAATCTGTTCTAGAAGAAGAAGAGCGAGCAAGGATGAGGAAGGAAGTTGTGGATGATGAGGAAGAAAGAAAAGAAGAGGTGGTTCTTGATCTTTTCCCAGGGGAGAGACCACATTTTGAAGAAGAAAGGGGGGGTTGAGGAAGCAATTGGCGTCCAGGCTGAGGATGAAGTTGAGGTGGAAGAGGCTTGCACCGGCCCTATGTTACATTTGATATCTCCACCAAACTTCGAGGAGCTGCTTGGCAAGGACCCATTTGCAGTGTCTTTTTGCCAGACCAAGGCCACATCAACATCGGTCCCTCTTGGTGGACGCGATGGTGGCCAATCGATGCTGTCATATCTGGTTTGGGGCAATGAGACGAGAGAAGAGAAGAAGAGGTCTCGAGGGTGGAGACTTCATCTGCATCAAGTACATGAGCCTTCATCACCTGCCACACCACATGCTCGTGACTTGAGACTCCACCTCATCGACGAGAACCTCAACTTCAAGGAGGTTCTAGCATGGACCGAAACTTATGAGCCATCGTCCGGCTCACGACGTGAAAGAAGCGCTTGTTGGGAGGCAACCCAACCAGTCGGTTTGCATTTCTTTCTCTATTTCTCCTCGGTTGAGTCAGTTTTATTATTTGATTTTAGAGTCAATAACTCAACCTTTGTGAGATTTTGTGTGGTGTTTGTGTTCTGATTACTCTCTCTTCCTGGAATGCACTGCCTGACCCGTACATCATCATTCACCCTTGATCTGGTAAATTCGTTCTACCCTCCTTATCTTTCCTCCATTGAGGACAATGTCGTGCTTAAGTGTGGGGGGGTGTTCGATTATGTATGCGGGTGAATGTTTGGCTGTTTGTGTGCTTGGAGCCTAGTTCACTGTCCAAATTTTTAAATTTGAGGGCTCCAAGTATGTGTTTCCTTGCAAATTGCCTGCTCAGTATGCTTTGAATTGACAGTCTCTATAGTAATGTGCAACCTAGGGAGGTAGTGTAGCACTATGGAGGATGTTGAAGTATAAGATTTTTCCTATCTAGCTCTCTGTTGTGCCAGTTGATTTTGTGAATTAGTGGAGCTAAGACCGTTGAATTCATGTGGTAATGGTGACTCTGTTTGGATTATGTTATGGACTCGTGTATCGAACAGGGTGCTCATATGGAAAATGGGAAGCAGTTGGTCCTCCATGTCAAAATCATTAAATCTTAAACATGGGGTAAGCCCAACGTGTGCGGCACCGTTCATTGCACAAAATCGGATTTTGGAAGAGATTTTAGTGATCCTTAGTGGGGTACTCCTACAAGGTGAAGCTAAGTTGTCTCTAGTACAAGTAAAACTTCCACCGCTGAACGGTTTGCCTACTTGAGGATGTGTTTTTAAGGGCACGGATAGAGCTTCCGACCCCCCTTAATTTCATTGACCCTCCACAAGAGTTGAGGAAAAGGAGTTAAAAGAAGTACTCTGGCGAGCTCCAGATGTACAGAAATTGCTCTTGCTCGACTAATAAGGGTCGACCGTGCAAAAGACTGCAGTTGGAACCCCACCAAATGAAAGAAAAAATGTAAATGAAAGTGAGAAAAAGGGGTTCCAACGGTGAAATGAAGTGAAAGAGCACCCCGGTACAACGAATCTTTGGTTGTGAATAGTGTGAGTCCCTTTATCCATGAACTGACTGTCTTACTTCTACTTTTTCTCATGATCCTGGCTTGAGTCTAGTACTCGCATTGAGAGAGATAGGGAACGTCTTAGAAGACCAGTTGACCTCGTAAGCTGCTATATGATCTAGGAAATCCTCTACCGAAGATCGGGGTTGTATGTTGCTATAGAGATCTGGAGAGCTGCATTGGTTTGAGTTAGGTTTGCTTGGGGACAAGCAAACAGTTAAGTGTGGGGGGATTTGATGACTCGGTATTTGCACATGTTTTCCCCTTTGTTTCTTGATTGTTTGAGCTTGAATTATCGTGTCTTTGGCCTATTTTACGCTAGGTTGTGTTCCTTTGTCACATTTCAGGTCCTAGCACATAAAGTGAAGCATAGGCGCAAGTTTCAAGTCAATCAGAGATCAATTGACGATTCGGGAGAAGAAACTCGGGTATGACCTGAAGAAGAATGGATTTCTACCTCAGTTTATGGACAAAGAATCATGCAAGCTTGTCATTAAAAGAAAGAAGACGAGACTACGAGCGTCTGGGATCAAACGGCGACTGATTCGGAGTCCGGACGAGGGAGAAACGAAGCATTAAACAGAGGTTGAGCAAGCCACACGGGCACAACCCACACGGCCGTGTGACCTGGCCATGTGGCCGTGTGGAAATCACCGAGCCTTTATACGGGAAGCTGGGAAAGCCACACGACCGTGTGGCCTGGCCGTGTGAGTCGGGAATTGCTGTTTAAAACCCGATTTTCAGCAAAAGGAAAGGGGCAGAGCTGGGTTTTGGATCCCAAACACCCAAGGGACGAACCCTAGAGAGATAGAGCGACTTGGGAACATTCTTGGAGCTATTTTGGAGGATTTCTTCGCCATTGGAGCTCGGGAATCAAGCTTGGAGATGGAGATTGAAGATCTAGATCAGATTTCTGCAGTCTCTCTCTTCTCTATGGAGTAA